TAAATAAAATTCAAAACACAAGCATGGTGACCGATATCACTAATCATTGATTCCACAAACAAATGTTTGTATATAATGTTTTGTTTTCCTGTTTTTAAATTGTATAGCTCACAACTGCTCGGCGACGCCACAGAAAACCCTGTGTGACCACAAATGGGGTCATGGCCCATGAGTTGGGAACCCTTGTTGTACAGGATTAAGGGATTAAAGATAAAGGAGAGGATGACTGCAGATAGGTAAAGAGCTCAGCCTTAAATGGGTATCAGGAAATGTCCTGGGAAGAAAAGGCGGTGGGTGTGATGCTGACCACATCACCCAAGTGCCGATTGATCTATAAAATATAAGTCTAGCCCTATATGCCCAGTTGGCATGAAGGCATGGAAAGGGTCCTTTACTGTTTTTACTTTACTTATTTGACAAGAAGTACATAAAATACGGGAGTCGCCGTGGCAGAGCGGCTAGACGCTCGCCGCGGATCGGAAGGCCGTGGGTTCGCTCCCTGGCGGAGACGGACTTTTCTTCAAAAATGACCTTGGCTCCCAGGTCGACCCAGCCTTAAGTGGGTACCGGGTGCAATCCCGGGAAGTAGAGGCGGCCGGCGTGATGCTGACCACATCACCCATCTTGTGCCGTTGGTCTATAAAAATATAGGTCTAGCCCTATATGCCCTATAAGCCTAAAGGCGGGGAAAGGGTCCTGTACTTTTTTACTTACATAAAATACGTGCAGTGGCACCAGTGGTGCTGAAGTCCTGTGCTCTAACTGTAGACATTGTTTCTGAAATCCAGCAGGTCTTGTTAGTCATGCTTGCCATGCTTGCCATTTCCATGGACTGAGATTGTAAATGTTGAAATGCTCTTTATAGCTTTCACTGTAGGTATTGAGATTCTTTTTATAGCTTTCATTGTAGATGTTGAGATTCTCTTTATAGCTTTCACTGTAGGTATTGAGATTCTTTTTATAGCTTTCACTGTAGATATTGAGATTCTTTTTATAGCTTTCACTGTAGATATTGAGATTCTCTTTATAGCTTTCACTGTAGATATTGAGATTCTCTTTATAGCTTTCACTGTAGATATTGAGATTCTCTTTATAGCTTTCACTGTAAATGTTGAGATTCTTTTTTCAGCTTTCATTGTAAATGTTTAAAAAAAAAATTAAGCTTTTATTGTAAATCTGCCCGTGTTGTAATTCTCAGTTTGTCAGATTGTAATTTAAAATTGTAATGTACAAAAATTGTGTTGAAAGATTTCTGAAGTTTTGGAATTGTATAATGATTATACTCTTTCTTCTAAATGACATTACTCTTAGTAGCTGAAGAGATATCCAGGTAGTATAAATGAGTATTTGCATTTTGTAAGTTTGCATTTTTAATTACTTGTTTGATTTTAAAGTTTTCATTTAAAGATTGCTTAGTTTTGTTTTCAATCACAGCAGTTTGCATTTTGTTCATCATCTAATGCACACACACACTCACACACACACTTATACACTCACACACACACACACATGCATGCACGCACACACTCAAGCACAGGCACACACTCACACATACCACACACACCACACACACACACTACACACTCACACACACTACACACTCACACACACCACACACACACCACACACACACACATGCATGCACGCACGCATGCACTCATGCACGTGTGCACACACTTACACATACCACACACACCACACACACACACCACACACACCACACACTCACACACACCACACACACACCACGCACACACACCACACACACCACACACATACCACACACATATCACACACACACCACACACACACACATGCATGCATGCATGCACTCACGCACGTGCCCACACACTCACACATACCACACACACCACACACACACACACACATGCATGCATGCACGCACTCACGCACATGCCCACACACTCACACATACCACACACACCACACACACACCACACACTCACACACACCACACACACACCACACACACACACCACACACACGCACCACACACACACACCACACACACACCACACACACACCACACACACACCACACACACACCACACACACACACCACACACATGTAATTCACAAGATTATCACTTTAACTTTATCTGTGTGTATGTGTCTGCCCCTGCTTCCCTTGAGGGCTAACTGTTAACCCCACCTTTTAGTGGTGGACATGAGTCCTAACTTGTCATGACAAAGCAAATCCGTTAAAAAAAAGACAGCAGAAACTTTCTTATTTATCTAAAGTATTTGTTATTGGCTTTGTTTGTATACATTCAAAGTGTATTTGATTTCACAGTTCCTACTTTTGTTGCCATTAAAAAAACTTGTTAGCTGTAAAATGTGTGTATTTGGGTGTGTTCTTGCATGTGTATTTAAAAATAAAAATAAAAATTTTTAAACATTTTAGCATTGAGGGAAAATTGGCACATAAATAGCATCTAATCTCAACAACTGAAATACTTTGCCATATAAAATATCATAGTGGCTTAGAAAAAACATAGGTGGAGAGTAAGCTTTGTATAAAAACAATTATAAGTGAAAACTAATTTGTGAAAAAATGTAGACTTTTGAACACAGACTTCCTGTAAACCCTTTCAAATGATGATTCCATACTCCAGACGTATAATATAAAACAAATGGTTTTGCCATTCAAATGATGATTCCATACTTCATGATGATTCCATACTTCAGAAATGTAATACAAATGGTTTTGCTATTCACATGATGATTCCATACTCCAGAAATATAATACAAATGTTTTTGCTATTCACATGATGATTCCATACTCCAGAAATATAATACAAATGGTTTTGCTATTCACATGATGATTCCATACTCCAGAAATATAATACAAATGGTTTTGCCATTCATATGATGATTCCATACTCCAGAAATATAATACAAATGGTTTTGCCATTCATATGATAATTCCATACTTCAGAAATGCTAATATACCACAAATAGTTTTCCATTCATTTGATGATTCCATACTCCAGAAATGTTAATATAAAATGAATGGTTTTGCTAGCAGGGGCTCCTCATTTATTTGTGCTTTATTAGTCTGCTAACTCATTTTCCTAGTAATTGTACCAATTTGTAAATCTTGCAGTGTTCTTGTGTGTTAATTCAATCCAAGGCATTTGTTTAATTCAATCCAAATTATTTGTAACTTTAACTCTTTCTTGCCCAGAGTGTTAGGCTTAAAAGCAGTAAGTAATTTGGCCCTAAGGAGTTCAGCCTAGACACTGAGACACATGAAATTATTAGTAATCTAGACAATAAGGAGTGGTATAACATTCTTCTGTGATAGAAGCAAAGTAAGTAAGGATCCTTTTTTTACGCCTTAGGCGCATCGCGCATATGGGAAGAGCATCCCATATTTTTACAGACCAATCGGCACTCGGTGGGTAATGTGGTCAGCATTACGCCAGCCATTTTAACTTCCCCAGGACATTCATCCTGGTACCTGTTTTAGGCTGAGTTGACCTGCGATGCCCCATACCATGATAAAATTCCACGCAACCAGCAGTGGGTTTTGATCATGGTACGTTGGAATTATAAGTTGGACTCGCAACGCCTAAGCCACAGACGCCGCTTTTTGTGATAGAAAATAGCTGGTAAATTAAATTAACTTTGGAATGATGCAGAAATGCACGGTGAGATTGTGTTAGGAGTGAAAGAGTAAAATCAGCTGTTTTATAATTTAGTTTTCTTTTAAATCTTACTATTTTATGAAGGCTTCTCAGTTTTTATTGATTGACATTTTACCCTGCCAGGACATCACACTGAGTGATAAACACTCAATGACACAAATTGCCATCATTAGGATGAGGATCACCCAGGGACATGCCCCAGAAACCCTGTTCAACCCATAGGTTGGGTTATATTAGGGCCCATGGCAACAGCCAGGGTGTGTGCTTCAAATATCAAAACATTGTGTCCCACACTGGAAAGGATGTTTTTCTTTTGACTGTTAAATTGACAGTATGTGGATTTGACAGTATGTGGATTTGACAGTATGTGGATTTGACAGTATATGGATTTGACAGTATGCGGATTTGACAGTATGTTACCATATTATTTCATGGTGTCACTCATCGTCATGTAGCAAGAGCTTGACATAATGTCGCTCTCAACACAGCTTATGGCCTGAAAGAAATTTGAGTCTCCCAAAACTCACCTGCCTCATGCACTTTCCTGCGCAAGGAGTTTCATCTACCTGGTTAGCCTTCTCTTTCCAGTTGGTGACACCGAGTGTTTGCAGGTCTGTCTGGACGTTATCTCTCCATCTTCTTCTTGCTCTGCCTCGTAGTCTGTTTATACAGTTTTTACTTGTCTGTCATTTGACATTCTAAACATAAAAAATCTAAATGATCTACAGAAGATCTACAATATCTAAATGACCTGTAGAAGATTTAAATGACCTACAGAAAATTTAAAATATGTAGATGATCTGCAGAAGATTTACAAGATCCAAATAACCTGCAGAAAATCTAAAAGATCAAAATGAAACTGCAAAGATTTGAAAGATCTAAGTGACCTACAGAAGATTAAAAAGATCCAAATAACCTACAGAATGTCTAAAAGAGCTATATGTCCTATAAAAGATCTAAAAGAGCTAAACTACCTAGATTACTTACAGAAAGTAAACAGAATTGAAAGTATCTACATAAGATCTAAATGACCTATAGAAAATGTAAAAGATCTAAATGACATATAGAAGATCTAAAATATTTGAATGACCTGCAGAGGATTTAAAATACCTAAATATTGTACTGAAGATTTAAAATGTCTAAATAATGTACTGAAGATTTAAAATATCTAAATAATGTACTGAAGATTTAAAATGTCTAAATAATGTACTGAAGATTTAAAATATCTAAATAATGTACTGAAGATTTAAAATATCTAAATAACCTTCAGAAGATCTAATATATTGAAATACCTTGTCAAACATAATGAAGTGTCTATCCTGTCTCAAGGTACCTCGTTGAGATTGACGATCTGAAGGTGAAGCTGGAACTGAGCCTCCAAGAACTTGCCAAGACCAAACACAGAAAGTAGAAGAACTCAAGGCAGAGAATATCTGCCTAGTTGAAAGTGTCAGGAAAATGGAGCAGTTTTCACATGAATGTGCAGTGATCAAGGTATAGTACACAGATCATTAGGAAAATCATTTTTGGTTTATCTTTGGTTCTGTGTAAAGTGTAGTATGTAGATTTCTAATTCAAAGTATTCCCTGTGTGATATCTGGGGCACTGTTGTGGGGGAGTAAAGAATAGACCCATTTCCCCTTCCCCTCCCCAATAAGCATGTCATAAGAGACTACTAATCAGGGGTGTTTGCTTAGATGTTAGAGGAATCTAGCTGAGAGGTGAGGAACTAGCAGTCTGCACATAAATAAGCCAAACCTGTAAAATGGATGTGCACGCAAAACTCAAGTTTAGAAACCAGACCAAAGCCCAGAAGTGGTTGAATAAGCAGAACTTTCCACCAAGAACTTACAGCCAGTGAACACCAGGAAGGAGGAAGGAAGAAGGTGGAGTTCCTAGTATCATCAGTCAGCAGGTCCCATACAGAACATCGCTGTTGTTACGGCACGCCTAAGTCTCTCCCTTTTCTCTAGATATTTTCCAGCCCAGTGTGCTTTCATAGTCGGTGCATCTTCAATGTCTTGTGTCCACACAAATATATTGACAAAAAATGGTCCTGAAATTCCATGCTATAATTTTGGAAGACTTTCTTAACGTGGGCAGGTCTTTCTAGTCGTACTCGCCATTGCCTTGGACTGTGAGTCCCTAGCCTCTTTGTGGAGTTCTGCTATAACACTGTCGTCTGAAAAGACAGAAAGGTGCTAGTCATCGGTCAGTGTTACATAACTAAGGTGACTTCTCTATAAAGTATAATCAACCACAAAAGTAAAGATTTCCACTATTTGCCTTGTATAAATAAAGCTGACAGGTAAATTGAATGATTCAGGAAGCTCTGGAAGAGGAAACAACCCTCAAGAACAAGCTGAAGAGTGAGGTGAACCAACTGCAGTTTCAGCTGATCGAGAAGACGCTGCTAGCTGACAAGTATGATCAGGAGAGGGCATGCAGGCTAGATTTGGAGGCTCGTGTGGAAGCTCACAAGTGTCTGGAGGAAACTGTCAAGGTACAGTGACTAAGAAATCTAATGAGATGGTCATGTTCATCAGCATTGTTGTTGTTATTTTTGAAATAACTGATGTTAATATCAACATCCAAGTCATTATTGTATGTCTTAGAACAGGACAAGGTCGATTTCGCAGACACATGTACACAAAGTTTGGTATGATGCTGGCTGGCACTACCAGTTTGATTATATGTTCTTCTTGCCTCTCCTTTGAGTGTAGAGTGTCAGCCAGATCCCCTGGTCACTTCCAGCTGTACAATCCTCTCCACCAGATCCCCTGGTCACTCCCAGCTGTACCATTCTCTCCACCAGATTCCCTGGTCACTCCCAGCTGTACCATTCTCTCCACCAGATTCCCTGGTCACTCCCAGCTGTACCATTCTCTCCACCAGATTCCCTGGTCACTCCCAGCTGTACAATTCTCTCCACCAGATCCCCTGGTCACTCCCAGCTGTCCTATTCTCTCCACCAGATCCCCTGGTCACTCCTAGCTGTACCATTCTCTCCACCAGATTCCCTGGTCACTCCCAGCTGTACCATTCTCTCCACCAGATTCCCTGGTCACTCCCAGCTGTACCATTCTCTCCACCAGATCCCCTGGTCACTCCCAGCTGTACCATTCTCTCCACCAGATTCCCTGGTCACTCCCAGCTGTACCATTCTCTCCACCAGATCCCCTGATCACTCCTAGCTGTACCATTCTCTCCGGACCATAATGATCAGTGTGTGCCTCTGCATTGTTTCACCTGCTGCCAAAGAGCTCTGACCACATCAAGCTTGTCATGTATAAAGTGACCATCTGTTGGTGCTGAACCAGCCAGTCTGTCTGCATGTTAATTTCCTAACACTCCTACATACTGTGGAGTTGAGTTGATTCAGAACCGAACATCACAGCACTCTGGGCATTCCCATAAGCGCTCCGTTCCCATCTTCATCTTCATCAGCCAGTAAAGAGATCTGATACTAATGGTGCCAGTAGCATTCCGATCAAATCTCCGTCTTGCCTTTCCTCTGAGCCTTGAGCATCTGCCAGAATCTCTCGTCGCTTCCCCGCTGCATCAACCTCACCAGACTGAGGTGATCCATCTGCTTCTCGAAACTGTACATGCTGTCCCACATAGGCACCAACCACGTCTGCCTTACATGCAGTGGAGAAAATATCCATTGAATGCTAGCTACCTGGGATCTCTGAATCTGCACAGAACATGGCTGTCTCCACCTTTCTTAACATGCTTTGTAAGTTGGTTACTATCACAATATTATCATTATCAACCATCAGTATCATCAACATTATCAACTACCTCATCCTCCTCCTCGTCAGGTAAACAGTTTATAAGGAAGTAGAAAAAAATCTTTTCAACTGACCTGCAGAAATCACAATCCATTATTTCACTATAAATTTCACCACATAAGTCTTAGAATTCTGTAGCATGTCTGTATTATTTAGTATAAAAACTGGGCGAGGCAGCCGAAAGGGCCTCGAGCTGGCTTTGGACGCAACGCAACGACGTAGGGGACAGGCCTCGGTGAGCTGGTCCGGGTCTCTAGTGGAAAAGGGTTTCTCACCCTTTGAAAGTCCATCGTGTCCGTATTGTCTGCCAGTGTTCCTCTGCCACCTGCTAACAAAAGTCAAACATGTGTCCGGTAAACCAATCGTAAACTTGTCGCTCGGTCGTCCAGGCACGCTGACTGTTCTAATTAGGCTGCCGCAACGACTTCTTATCTCACAGTACCTTCTGCAAACCACCAAGTCCTCTTGTCTCTAACCGAAAGAAAAACGCCATCCGGTAATTTCGTGCAGCAGGGAACCAGCCCTGAGCTTCATGAACTCAGGTGGGCCCCACCTCCGAAAGCGTCTAGGAATAGTAAGCCGAAACACTCGTTGACGAGGATAATTTCTTCTGATGACTGGTAGATCCCTGCTGTACTTGCTCCCTGTGAGTTTATTCCTATTCACCTGACAAGATACACTTTATATGCCAGGCATTGAATTGGCTGAGTATTTATATGTGTTGCATGTTTGCATCTGACTGTGAATCTTGGACAATTAATAAACAAGCAAACAATTTCTTGAAGCCTCTGACATGTGATTTTACAGAAGAATCCTTAGAATACATTGGGCAGCCAAAATGAGCAGCTTAGATGTTTTGATAGAAGCAAGGGCCTGAAGTAAACTTACCACAAAAACCATAAGGAGCCAGCCATCATTTTTTTGCCATGTTATGCGAAAAGAGGAACTGGGACATGTTTTGACAACTGGCGAGATTTGTGGAAAGAGAGATAGAGGATGAGAACCTGAGACAATTCTTGACACCCTTTTGTCGTGGCGTGCAGAGTGACAGCACCTGAACTGATACATGTCGTTAGAAATCACAGGTTGTGGAAAGGCATGATCACCCATAACAGTCGGCAAAGCCCTTGATGATGATTGTTTGTGTCTCCATTATTTAACTCTTAAGCAGTGCATCATGTGTGATAAATTTAATCTCATGAATCCTAAACATTATGCAATAATGTTCTGTTACTTTCTGCATTTAGTCGTAGAATACTAAAGAAATCTAGCTTTCCCAGTTGCCTCTGAAAGCGTAGTGGGTAATGAACAGGCAGACAGATTGGCTGGATCTGCACCACTGGGTGGTTATTGATACATGACAAGGCAGATGTGGTCAAGGCCCTTTGGGAACAAGCAACGGAATCAGTAGAGATAGAAGATTATTATGGCCTGGAGAGAATGATACACCTGGGTGTAACCAGAGGGTCTGGCCAGCTCACTACACTCAGACGAAAGTCAAGACAGACATATAACCAGATTTTGACCGGTACCATCAGTATTGGAACTTTGCACTGGCTGCTGAAGCTGATGAGGACAGAGCACAAATGGGAATGCCCCGAGTGCTGTAATGTCAGTTCTTGACTAAATTCAACTCAACTCAACTCTGAAAGTTTTATACTCATGGGTTTTCCTAGTTGTTATATCTCAACTGCTGTGAAAAGGTTAGGAGCTGAAAGAATAATATTTACAATAGTAAAACATTTTTTCTTCTTCTAGAGTTTGACCTTAGAAGCAGAGAAGGAGCGAGTCGAGAGACAAGCCATTCAAAAGTCTAAAGATGAACTAGAAAGAACTGTTGCTCTACAAGTTAGCAAAGCCGAACTGATATCTGCACAAGAGGCTGCAGATGAGCAGAGACAGCTGTGTCAGGTGTTGGAGGTGAAGATCCTGCAGCTGGAACAAAGTGTGAAAGATGTTGAGACCAGCCGTGATTCAGTGGTGGAGCAGCTGGAGAGTGAGAAGAAGCTCCGACTGAGCACAGAGGGCCGCCTGATGGATATGCAGGTGAGCAGTGTATTGTCAGTACTTCATTGTCAGTTGTCACACACCAGGTAGATTATGTCTGAAATGATTATTTTTGCAGGTCTTAAATCTAGTTAGTTAGTTAGTCCACAGATTATCCTCATTGCACTTCAAACCACTCAGTCCATAAGTGCTCAGATCTCCTCCTCAGTAAATCTCGCAGTGTGTGTAGCGGCTGATGACACCAGTTCTTTGTTGGTTTATTCTTCTTCTTTGGCTACCTGCGAAATGTTCATGTTTGATGACAACCCCATTTAATTTGCTGTTCTTGCAGTCTGACCATGGTTGCAGATTCATAGTTCTCAATTAGTTCACTTCCTAAATCTGTGAGCTGCCAGGATGTAGTGGCTAGAACGAGCCTGCAGATCCAAAGGAAGGTCATAGGTTTAAATTCCAATGGAGCCTGACTGTTTTCAGAAATGACTTTGGCTTCTAATTTGACCCAGCCTTAAGTGGGTACCAGGTAATGTTGTGGGAAGTAAAAGCAGGCGGCGTGATGTCGACCATATCACCCATAGAGTGCAGATTGGTGTATAAAATGTAGGTCTAGCCCTATATGCCCAATACGCCTAAAGGTGGGAAAGGGTCTCCTTTACTTCTTGATTCTACATGTGTTAACCTCTCCTGACTACTTATGTTGTATCTGTCTCTGTTGTCTGTAAATTTTCAGTTGCAACTTGCTAATGAAGTGGCAACAGACAAGTACGCAGAACTTAGAGAGGAACTGGACAAGGAAACAGCAGCTCTGGAGGAATCTCAAGAAACTGTGAGGATGCTGACAGAGAAACTGGAAAATGAAAAAAATCTCAGAAGAGAACTTGCTGAAAAGGTATAAGAGAGGTTCAAATTGCATATTTAAATTTTAAGTCCAAAAATGAGGCATTCTCTTAAACCTTTAGTTCGCCCGGCAACCCTTAGAGAAAAAAAAAAAAAAAAAAACGATGGTACCCAAAATTCCCCCTCCCCTTTCCAAATCCTTTAAAAACCCCAACCTTGTCAAACAGTTCACTAAAAAAAATGTAATGATTTAGACTGAACAAAAAAATTATCTTGTGAAATAATGATGGGGAGTAATTAATAAACGCTAGCGGAGAGGAACATTAAATGGATGTCACTCCCAAAAGTGTAAAACTCAAATTATATGATGACATACATGACTCAGTTACTTCATTACTGTGACTTCTATAATCAGGGTAAATTATGTCTTCTTCTTCTTCTTCGATCCTTCTGTCAGAAAACTTATATCAGGAGGCCGGCAGTCTTTATGAAAGCTATCGTGCAGTCCATTTCCTCTCGTGTACCATACAGCTTTGTCTTCATTGTGGTTGGAACAGGCCAGATTGCGTCTCTGTTGTCAGCATACAGTTGACAGTGTTGGAGCACATGCTCAGCATTTTCGGGTGCCACGATGCACATGTCTCCGTGTTTCCTACACCTAAAAATGTGAACATACGTTGACGAAGTCTGTTGTGTCCAGTCGTTAGTCTGAATATAATACCTACAATTATGACGTGTAATGACCTTTACAAACAGCCATTTGATCACAGAAACACCCCTTAAATGATATTTTTTTAGTCAATATTATCATATCGGGGTTTCCTCAACACTGCACAGGTGCAGACAAAACCCCCTCTGTCCTTAGATTTCTTGAGGACAAGTCTCTACAGCCGTGCCGTTAAGTGGTATATGCAAGGGTAGGGAATGGGCAGATGAAGCAAGTTAGCAGCATTTCAGGGCACAATACAGCCACAATACTCTCCAGAGTGACAGCTATGTAACTACCCTTACGAAACTGTTGACCATCATCTCTTTGAGTGCCTAAAACTCAGCCAGACTAGAAGAATGCTACTCCCTCCGAGACCAGACAAGTGGAACAGCTTGTACGGAGGCAAAGGACACCTTGTACGGAGGAAAAGGACACCTTGTACGGAGGAAAAGGACAGCTTGTACGGAGGAAAAGGACACCTTGTATGGAGGAAAAGGACACCTTGTACGGAGGAAAAGGACAGCTTGTACGGAGGAAAAGAACAACTTGTGAAAACATGTAAATTCCACTACGCGGCGTTGGGCCAAAGGGCGAAAGCTCATACGCCGCTGAATCAATAACAACAACAACATCAACAACAACAACAACAACAACAAACAGGTGAAAAGGGTTTATGATGCTCAACGAATTGACTATTTCAAAACTGTACATTCAATATAATTTCAGTAACACTGAAGCGGTTAAAGTGTAAGGTTTGTTTTTGCATACTATCTCCACATTGGAAGTTGGCTGCAGTGTATTCATTACCATCTTTGAGAATGTTATATGATGAGACCCCAGTCTATCCCATAGTGTGACTCTCATGCCACTTTCTTTCCTGTGTGGGTTCTGGGACCCCATTTTGGAGAGAGAAAGGAGAAGACCTACTGCCCTCCCCCCTTAGCAAGCGTGTCATTACCTGTGACTTTTAGGGATATTTCCTTCAATGTCAGAGTGCATCTGCCTGACAGGCGAGGAGCAAGCAGTCTGCATACAAATAAGCCAGATCAGTAAAACGGATGTGCACACAAAACTCATGTTCTATAACAAGACTGAAGTCCAGAAGTCACAGCTTTCTGCCGGAATTTACAGCCCCTGAACAGGAAGAAGAACAAGAAGAAAATACCACTGTCTGAATGCCCTGAAAACATTTTTCAAAAAGAAATTGCCTGCTGCAGAAATCAAATCCTACAAAGAATTTTTTTCAGGCATGTTAAACGTACAGTAAAAAAAAAAAAGAAAAAAAAAAAGAAGTAAGGGACCTTTTTCACATCTTTAGGCGTATAGGGCATATAGGGCTAGACCTAAATTTTTTAAGACCAATCGGCACAAGATGGGTGATGTGGTCAGCATCACGCCGGCTACCTCTACTTCCTGGGACTGCACCCGGTGCCCACTCAAGGCTGGGTCAACCTGGGAGCCAAAGTCTTTTTTTGAAAAAAGTCCGGCTCTGCCAGGGAACAAACCCATGAGAATGTGCGAGACTCATATTTTTTTATAGACCAGTTGGTGCTCAGCGTGTGGTGCGGATGACATCACAAGGGCACCTTTTACTTTTCCGGACATTACCTCATACTCAGTTTAGGCTGGGTCAATCTCTGAGCCGCTTTATTGCAGATTTGATCCCGAAACCTTCAGAGCATCAAGTGAGCCTTTAGTCGCTTTATTACAATTTCTCCCACTTTACTTTCATGGCAAAGGGGTCAAGCCATTTGCCCCACACTGGCAGTGGTATTCGGTTCCTGAGTGTAATTATGGAGATTCGTGGGGTCATCACCAGAGCTACATAGTTCATGCTTTGTGTGCCACTTTCAGTAGGTGGCTAGTCATTCTATAGAGAGAGACTAAGTCATGTGGAAAAAACCCAGTGCACTGAAGTCAACACTCTCACCTTTAACCTGTAGCCTTCAATCTCTTTACTACATGTTGTAATACCATCGTTTTATGCTTTAGGTGGCAGCGCTGGAGAAAGGTCAGGGTGAAGACACCACACAGACACTGAAAGCCAAACTTGAGGCCACACTTGAGGATCTGGAGCAGGAGAGAAGAGCCAAAGCTGAATGTAACATGAGGTTACAGGAAATAGAACAGCTGCTAGAGGACCAGAAAGTTGACAGTGAGAATCTCCACCACAGTCTCAGTGAGAAGGTGAGACTGCTGCAGAAGCTTCTCTGTGTGCAGATTTACAGTCTTGTACCAGTGCATCATTGTACCAGTGAATCATTGTACCAGTGCATCATTGTACCAGTGCATCATTGTACCAATAAATCATTGTACCAGTGCATTATTGTACCAGTGTATCATTGTATCAGTGTATCATTGTACCAGTGCATCATTGTACCAGTGCATTATTGTACCATTCATCATTGTACCAGTGCATTATTGTACCAGTGTATCATTGTATCAGTGTATCATTGTACCAGTGCATCATTGTACCAATGAATCATTGTACCAGTGCATTATTGTACCAATGTATCATTGTACCAGTGCATCATTGTACCAGTGCATCATTGTACCAGTGCATTATTGTACCATTCATCATTGTACCAGTGCATCATTGAAACAGTGCATCATGAAGCGATGTCTCAAATAGCAGTGTTTCCCCTTGTGGGTTCCGGGGCCCTATTATAGGGAAAACAAGAATAGACCCACTGCCTCCCCAACAAGTATATCATATCATAAGAGTCAACTCATTGGGGGCTTCCTTCAAAGTCAGAGTGCATCTGCCTGAGAGGCAAGGAATCAACAGTCTGCATACAAATTAGTCAGATCTCTTTAACGGATGCACACACAACACTCAGGTTCTGGAACAGCACTGCAGTCCAAAAGTGGACGAACAACCAGAACTTTCCACCAGAGTTTACAGCTGGTGAGTGTGAAGAAGAAGAAATAGCAGTGTTTCATGTAGCAGTAGCAGTATGCCATGTAGAATGGTATCGTAATGGTGTATCATGTGGCTGCTTATCATAAGATTGACATCATGCAGCAATGTATCATCCCTATGTAGCCTCTGAGGCCTCATTGTTGGAGAAAACCAGAAAAGACCTACTTGAAAATCTGGCAACTTTTTTTTTCATGGACCAGCCAATGATAAAAACAAATGAAGTATTTTATTTATTTTTTAAATCCAGTGTTACAAAATTTGAAATCTCCTCCTCCTTCTTATTCTTTGTTCACTGGCTGTAAGCTTCAGCAGAAAATCCTGATTGTTCGTCCATTTGGACTTTGGCTTTGTGCCAGGGCCTGAGTTTTGAGTGTACATCCATTTTACTCGCTTCTTTGTGTGCAGTTGATTGTGCCTTGCTGCTCTGGCGGATGCACTCTGACTTTGAAGCTAGCTCCTAGTTGACTCTTATGACATGCTTGTTGGGGAGGCAGTGGGCATATTCTTGTTTTTCCCTTGGAATAAACATGGGAATAAAATTCCAAATAAAATTTAGCTAGTGTGACATCTCCTGCTTAGAGGTAGAAAATCTGTTATATGTAGCCAAAGCGATGTTTCTGAGACCTACTACATGATTGAGCGGAAATTTTTAGCAGACCGCTAGGACATTCTCATGGACTGGCATTGCTGCATGGATCATGGGTTAAAGAAAATGAGTGTACATGATATCATCATCATTATGTAGCAGGTCCTTTGCAGAACATCAATCTCATCATGGTCTGCCTGAAAGAAACTTCTGCCTTCTGCAATTATTCTTTTTTCCAATCCACCATGGCTCTTGATATTAGTAAAATATTTCAGCTTTCGATACAAGATGCTGTTTATTAGCCAATCTTCCTCAATGTTCAGATCTTTTAAAGTGTCAGTATTTCTTCTCTTCTCTGTTCATGGTATTCTGATAATCTTTCTATAGCCTTTCAGCTCAAAAGCCCCTATTTTCTTTCTTAAGGACTGGGAGATAGTCCACGACTCACATCCGTATGTTGCTGCTACAGGAAAAATGCATGCTCTCAACATTTTAATTTTTATTTCCTTGCTGGTGCTTAACCATATACATTTAATGCTGTTTAATCTTTGCATTGCTACAGCTATCCTCCTTTTGATTTCTGTCAAACAGTGTCCATTGTTATTTATTATAGAGCATAGATATTTAGTAAATACAGTTATATTTTTAATGAGATTCATGCATTTTGCACAAGGTTTGTGATAAAACAGAACGATGAGCGTTACTTTCTAAATGTCCCTTGTATATCTAATGAAAGATCTCTCACCTCAAATTGGCAGATCTTGTCTCTAGAGAAGCGAGCACAAGCTTTACAAGATGACCTCTTTAATGCACAAGATGAGCTGCAAGCATTCCAGGACAAATATGATCAGGTATGATCTCCTGAAAGACACAGCTCATTCTGTCCTGGACCTGTATTTTTCCCCAGCTCTTTTTGACTCAGACATGTCTTATTTCTCTTGAGTTTTCTTGGGACAATAATGTGTGTGTGTGTGTTTTTTTTTTTTAAAGAGGGTGCTAAAATGTTATTTAGAACCTGTTCTGCTGTATGGCAGCCAATCTTGGAATGTCAGTGAACAGATTAGGAAGAATTTGGAAGCAACAGAGATGTGGTTTCTGAGACGAATGTTACGAATACCTTGGACAGCCAGAGTAACTAACAACGATTGCTTGAAAGAAGCTAATGAAAGTAGATCTCTATATACAACAAAAGAAAGAGACAAACAGTGTTCTCTGGCCACATAATGAGAAGAGAGACATTGGAGAACATCGTGACAACTGGAAAGATCAGTGGATAAAGGGGAAGAGGCAGACCAAGAGAGATGATGCTGTATGGAGGGATACCATCAAGAGAGCTGTTCTAGCCAACCAAGGATCGTGATCTGTGGAGACGCATGAGCGCCCTCGCTAGTTGGCAGGGAACATGATGTTTATGATGTCTTATTTCAACCCATTCTTTTTCACATGTCTTATTTGAATCAGTCCAGTCTGTCCTGCACATGTCGATTTGTAACCATCTGTGTCCTGGATATGTATTATTTCAGCTCATTTTGTCCTGTGCATCTTTTATGTCAACTCTTTCTATTCCAGACATGTCTTACTTATTTCAGCTCATTCTGTTTCAGACATGTCTCAGTTCAGCTCATTCTGTTAAAGGTGTGTCTCGTGTAAACTTATTCTGCAGACATGTTTTATTTCAGCACATTTTATTTATAATGTAATTTCAGCTCATAATATCTCAAGCATATTTGATTCACCACATTCTTTTCCAGGCATGTCTTACTTCAACCCATTCTGTGTTATCCATTCTGTCCCAGACATGTCTGATTTGAATCCATTCCATCCAAGAAGTGTCTTTTTTCCAACCCATTCCACTCCACATGTCTTACTTCAACCCATTCTATGTTATCCATTCTGTCCCAGACATGTCTGATTTAAATCCATTCCATCCAAGAAGTGTCTTTTTTCCAACCCATTCCACTCCACATGTCTTACTTCAACCCATTCTGTGTTATCCATTCTGTCCCAGACATGTCTGATTTAAATCCATTCCATCCAAGAAGTGTCTTTTTTCTAACCCATTCCACTCCACATGTCTTACTTCAACCCCTTCTATGTTATCCATTCTGTCCCAGACATGTCTGATTTAAATCCATTCCATCCAAGAAGTGTCTTTTTTCCAACCCATTCCACTCCACATGTCTTACTTCAACCCAGCCTGTTCAAGACATTTAAAAAAAAAACCATTCCATTGCAGACTTGTCTTATTTCAATCCATTCTGTCACAAAGATGTCTTATTTCAACCACTTCTGTCCAGGCATGTCTTACTTCAACCAGTTTTATTTCAGGCATGTCTTATTTCAACCCATTTTATCCCAGGCATGTCTTATTTCAATCCATTCCATTCCAGACATGTCTTACTTTAACCAGTCCTGTTCCATATGTCTTGTTAAAACTAATTTTATCATGTCTTATTTCAACCTATTCTGCCCTGGTCATGCCCTCCTTTTCTACTTGTTCATTAATTTTTGTCTATTCGAATGGCATCGTGTAGCAGTGTATCATATGGTTATACATTCCTACATAATGGTGTATCATGTATCATTCGAGCATTAGACACAAGGTGAAGGCTGGTTGGGATAAAATGAGTAGAATTGTAGCAGAACTGGGTATCAGCACTAATGAAACTGATCCATTGGATTGTAAACGGAGGGTCCAGATGACAGTCAGCATGAAGATACAAACATTAGGCAGACTTTCTTCCTTTGAATTTGGAGTGCTTCTGCTGAGAGAGGCGAGGAACCAACAGTCTGCATACAAACCAAATCTGAATAAAATGGAGTTGCACACACACACACACACACACACACACACACACACACACACACACACACACACAAACTCAACTCTGAGTAAGACTAAAGTCCAGAAGGGGATGAACAACTAGAACTTTCCCCCTTCAGTTTACAGCCAATGAATGTAAAGAAAAAGAAGAAGAAGAAGAAGAAAAAGAAAAAGAAGAAGAATAAGAAGAAGAAGAAGAAGAAGAAAAAGAAGAAGAGAAGAAGAAGAACAAGAAGTAGAAGAAGAAGAACAAGAAGTAGAAGAAGAAGAACAAGAAGAAGAAGAAGAAGAAGAACAAGAACAAGAACAAGAAGAAGAGCAAGAAGAAGAAAAAGAAAAAGAAGAAAAAGAAGAAGAAGAAGGATAACAACAACAACAACAACAACAAAAGGAGAAGAAGAAGAAGAAGAAGAAGAAGAAGAAGAAGAAGAAGAAGAAGAAGAAGAAGAAGAAGAAAAAGAAGAAGAAGAAAAAGAAGAAGAAGAAAAGAAGAAGAAGAAGAAAAAGAAGAAGAAGAAGAAGAAAAAGAAGAAGAAGAAGAAGAAAAAGAAGAAGAAAAAGAAGAAGAAGAAGAAGAAGAAGGATAAGGAGGAGGAGGAGTAGGAGGCGGAAGGGGAAGGAGGCGGAAGCGGAAGGAGAAGGAGAAGAGAAGCAGACTTCTAATCATTGCTAGCACCATCATTATAAAAGTAAAGGACCCTTTTGCAAGCCTTCAGGCATAATGGGCATATAGGGTTAGACCTATATTTTATAGATCAGTAGGCACTCAGTGGGTGATGTGGTCAGCATCATGCCAGCCGCCTTTACTTCCCAGGACTCACCATCATTATGTTAATTGCGTATCCTTTACAGGACATTGCAGACCCCAGCCATTTTTGGTCGCTGTGGTTTTTTTGGGCAAATATTTACATTCAGTAGTTTGCCATTGCTTTTCACCATCAGATAGGTATTCTTAATCGATTATTGAAGAAGGCAACAGAGGACACATATGGAAATGTCTTATTGTGCAGCGATGTCAGTTCTTAATTAATTTACAGGGATCATTGATGGTCTTTCTTTAGGCTGTCAAAGAAGCCGAAGTCACAAGAGTAGAAGTTATGGAAAAGAACGAGCAGAGAGGACCCTTGTACACTCATACACCAGAGACCCCTACATCACCTAGTCAGCAAAGGGAGGTAATATACAATAGTAATAATAATAATAATAATAATAATAATAATAATAATAATAATAATAATAATAATAATAATAATAATGATAACAATAATAATAAGAAGAATAGTAATAATAATAAAAATA